ACTCAAGCTTTACGACCGCTTCTCTTCCCAATGTGTTCCACTCCAGCACACTACCTCTGTTCTTGCTGGCACCGTTGTCACTGCTGCATCCGCCAAGCTTTGACATCTTCAACCCATGGTCGAAACATACCGAAACCGCAGTGCAAACCTGCCCAGGAACAGGTCGCAAGTGTCCACTGGCTGCGTAAACAGTGACTCCACCCACCCCCCCCACCCCCCCCCCGCCCCACCCCCCACTGCTACACACAGCAAAAAAAAAGACCCGGATCCTAAACTTTTATACCAACTTAAGAAGAGCCCTTCTTTGCAAAGCTGCTGTCTCGGTTGCCATGAAGACAACGGGTCGCGTGCGGTCGGGACTTGGTGTGACTTGGTTTAGGATTTCTGAAGGGTTGAGGATTTGGGGTCTCAGGGCCTTGGTGGGTTAATATTTCATAAGCACGAAATCCGCTTCAAAGTGAACGGTATAGATGAGGAGAACCCCAGATTCACGGCCTGCAACAATGGACAGAAGGAGCTTTAGCCATGCACTCCAGGTCTTCTTCTGGTTGTTTCTGAACTTCCTCACCAAAAACGAAACATCCCGATCATAAAAAGTGGCTAGCAGCCGCAAGCAGAAGCGACCGCAAACCCCAGGAGTGCCATTCCAATACTACTGTTGATGATTCAAACCCTGCATTACCTTAAGGGCCCTAAACTATGGGAGCTATGGTATATTCCTTATTATGGGTAATGCAGGATTTATATCATCAACCGTATCTCATGCCATATTGTCCGAACTGCCCGGGCTCAGGGGTTGGAGTTTAGGTCGTAGTAGTGCTTTGAGCCTTGCTTGTTTGCCAGAGGCATGAAGAGAAATGGCTGTTGCAGGGCCGCGGCAACCGGAAGGATGCTAGGGCCTGAACAGCGAACCTGACCGAAACCCGGAGGCCAAGCCGCGAAAAATGTAGTTCAAACCCGTCACACCCCAAACCTCGAACCCGGCTGCTGTAAGCCCTACAACCCTAAATCCCAAAATCCGTGGTACCCTAACCCAAGACTTGTGGAAAGCTCCCAAGCTTGAAGGAGAGAGGCTGAGCTGGGGTTGAAATATGAAGAACAGCTCGGAGCCTTTCTTGGTGTCAGTGTCCCTGCAGGCTCGGGGTTTAGGGCTTCGAGCTTATATGGTTTAGGGCTTAGGGCTTCGAGGTTATATGGTTTAGGGCTTAGGGCTTAGAGTTCATGTGGTTTAGGGCTTAGGGCTTAGAGTTTAGGGTTTTTGGCTCAGGGAGTTTAGGGTTTAGGGGCTGAGCGCGAATTTTGATTTGTTTTCACGACTCTTTGCTGACGCAGGTGGAGGGCCTCGGGTCTGGAGAAGCTTGAGGAGTTGGTCCAGCTCTTCTGCGGTGTACCAGTCAAAAAACGTTGCTGGATTCTGCAAAAATCTGTGCACATGTATGTATGTACGCATGTATGTAGGTGTAGATATGCATACATCTATATATCCATACATACATGCATTCATTCATTTATACATACATACATACATACATACATACATACATACATACATACATACACACATACATACACACATACATACACTTATACACACATATACACACATATACATATACATATACATATACATATACATATACATATACATATACATATACATATACATATGCATATGGATATACATATACATAGACATAGACATAGGCATAGACATAGACATAGACGTAGACGTAGACATGTACATATACATATACATACACACACATATATATATACATATACATATATATGTATATATACATATATATGTATATATACATATACAGACACATACTTACATACATGCATACATGCATACATGCATACATGCATACATGCATACATACATACTTACGTACGTACGTACATACATACAGACATACATACATACATGTACACATAGATATTACATATGCATATATGTATATACACACTTTTCGGGGCTTCTATAAGGGTACTATAAGGGATTCTATAAGGGTACTTATCAGGGCTTCTATGGGTACCTATACGTAAGGGCTTCTATAAGGGTCCTACATTAGATTTCATGGGGCTCCCGCCTGTAGCTATGCAAGAAGCCGCCGGTCACCTTGGCCCTCTGGCCAAAGACCGAGAGCGAGCGCAACGCGCAAGGAGGGGGGAATTAAAGGGAAACGCCCTGGTTGGCGACAGCACAATAAGGCAAGCTTTTCTGGCTTTTTGTTGTGGCGGAGAAGATTTAACTTGCTGTGATGCAGTCTCAGATGGTCGAAGCAAGATCAGAAACCTTACGACTCTCCAAGCCCTCGCAATGGGGCCCAAAAAAGCCTGGAACGGAAACTGAGCCAAGACGCGGCAGCGACACAGCGAAGTTGATGCAGACTGCTTAAAGGTTTAGGGTTTATAGGTGTGTAGGGTTTAGGGTTGTTAGAAGGCGTGTAGGGTGTGGGTGCGCAGTCTTGGCAGGTTTTGGGCGGTTTTTTTTGCTTTTTGGCCCTTGGGCCTGCCCTCCTGCCCTCTGCCATGCCCTGCCCTCTGCCCTGATGGAAGTAAAACAAATAATTACGAAGAAGAAGAAGAAGAACAGTTAGCATTATTTTTTTATTGCCACGAGGGGTCTGAAGCGCACTTCATGCTTTGGAAGTCTTCCTCCACCTCTTTGGGCTTCGGACTTCGGAGGTTGCGGTCCAAGCATAGCGGTTTAGAATTTGAGGGTTTGGGGTTTGGGGTTTAGGGCTTGGCGGAGGGTTTTTTTTTTTTAGCGGAGGGTTTAGGGTTTAGGGTTTGGCGTTGAGGGTTTGGTCGAGGGTTTAGGGTTGGGGTGTAGGGTTTGGCTGAGGGTTTAGGCTTTGGGGCTTAGGGAGTTTAGGGTTTCGAGCTCAGGGCTTGTTTGAGGCTTTGGGGATTAGGGACCCAACTGTAAAAGGCGCCGAGGCTCTCACACCTCATGGACCGCTCCCAGCCCGTCTTCTCTGCACTTGGGGCCTCAAGGCTTCGCCTTCGGCCCATCGCGCGTGAGCTCTTGGCTCTTCTTCGTGGTTTGGGGGTGCAGAGTGGTACTTGACGTTGGGGGCCATGGGATTCTTGATAATCCCCACGTGCGACTCATAATCCACAAGGCTTTGGAGCAAGCAAGACTCTATCACGTACGCCCAGTGTTCGTAGTTACATCAGCATCAACACGACCCGTGGCCTTCGGAATATCAGTAAAGCCCAAACTTCTCAACTAACCAATACCAACGACAAAGTGAGCGCGGGGCTTCAACTTCAAGACAAAGCAACCCTAAACCCCAAACCCTACATCCCACCGCCTAACAGCCTAACCCCCAAGCACTTACTTAAACCCTAACCCTAAACCCTAAACCGTTAAACCCCCCCCTCTAGAGCCGACAAAAGCCCTCCCTGAGCTCGGAGGCCGCTCAACCCAGAGCCCTCTCAGCCGACAGCGCCTGCCAAGGTAGGGCGTGTTTAGGGTTTAGGGTTTAGGGCTTAGGGTGTAGGGTTTAGGGTTTAGGGTCCCAGGGTGTAGGGTTTAGGGTTTAGGGTTCTAGGGTTTAGGGTTTAGGGCTTAGGGTGTAGGGTTTAGGGTTTAGGGTTCTAGGGTTCAAGGTTAAAGTTTGGGGTTTTAAGGCCCAAAATCGACCGAACCCCAGGCACCCATCCCCGAAAACCTCCCTGCTGAACCCTGTCACCTGGAACCCTCAACCGGTTACCCCCCTCACCCTAAATCCTCTAAGCCCCTCCCCCCTTAAAGAAGAGGCTCTTTTCAGCCGCCCACGTCTGGCTGAAGTCCCGGACGGCCGGGGGCGGTGAGGTGAAGGATCCGCCAACAAAGAAACTGAAGTTTTTGTTTGTTTTGGGGTTTAGGGTTTAGGGTTTAGGGGCTTTTTTGAAAAACCCAAGGAATGAGATCAGGAATTTGTGAGTTCGTAAACCCTCCCATAACCTCACCAAACCCTACAAAGGGGTCTCGCGATGGTCTTCTTGAAGGCTTGTTTGGAAGACTGATTAGGATCCTACAAGGGCTTCGGAGGGTCTGTATAGCTCATGATAAAAGTCTTTTGAAGCTGCTTCTTTATCTGGTTGCTTTCACAATTCTTGCTGGGGCTTAGGAAGAGTTGCTTTCGTTGCGCTATTACCATACGAACATCCGCAGATCTTGAGCTCAAGTGCCCCCAGCAGGGCCTGTCATTCTGTCCCGGAAGACCCCGTATCACCCAATGCCTACACCTCTTTTTGGAATCGAAGAAGGGGATTCCAAGTAGACACAAAGGGACTCCAGGTAGGAAGCAGGGCCACCGAAATCCAGGTGCGGCGTGGCGGGGCGCTTGTAGCCCACGGCCCACAAACGGGGAAGCTCGACAGACTGACTCCGAGATTCGGGGGGTTCAGGGGGTCCCCGACCCGCCGTCCGCTCAGCGGACATGCAAGTGGGGCCCGGGCCTGCAGCGTTTCGACGCCCAGCGCAGAAATGGGGGGGGGCTTGGGGCTTAGGGCCTCAGGGCTCAATGTCTGCTGGCTCGGACCAGATGGCACTCGCGGAGCTCTGGGGAATGCACCGCGCGAATTTGGAGGCAGGGGCCAACCCAGCGAGTGGGTGAGAGGCGAGCCACTTCGTCTGTACCAGCTGCGGAGCTTGGAGACATCTCCGACTTGACCATCCCTCTCTAGGTACTATGTCCATGGCCTGCAAACTGCTAACTTCGTTGCGAGCTAATGCGAAAGACATGCTACTGTCGTGAACTGCCCTTCAACCTGCAAGCATCACGAACGAAATAATTCACGAGCTGGGTGCACGTTCTGCTGCTCCTAGATCGCGGAACACATCACGTGCTAGTAAGCTTCTGAAACAGCTGAACAGAACTTTTGCTTCAATCTCCATGCTGTGTTATTCTGCCGCCGGCGGCGAAACGGAGATGACCTAGCTCATGCTGGCGTGGAGGAAAGTGGTCAGTCTGATGAAAGCCGAGTATCTTCATCTCAGCTCACCACACTCTCAAGTCATCGTCCTCATTGAGAGACAGCTGGGCAGAATGACGAGCTCAGGTTTCAGATCTTCTTTCGGGCTTCGATTTCCGCGACACAACTCAGGGCAGAGGGCCTTGAACCTCCAAAAACCACGGAAAGTCAGTCTGAACAGCACGGATATCCCCCAAACAAGACAGATCCGGCTTCTACTGCGCCCCGGCCGCTGCCCTGAGACAAGTCAGAACAGCCCAAAACCCTACATCTCGCCCCCTGGCACCCTTTAAGGCCCGCGTATGGGGCTTGGGTTTAGGGTTTATGGCTTCGCGGCCTAACTCCCGCAGAGTGTCGCTGTCCGAGTCGTTTTCGAAGGCACGGCTCCGTGTCATGGTCTGAACAGTGGAGAGGTTGCCATCTGCCAGTTTGCCCATGACCTCATGGGACATAAAAAACTGCGGCTTTCGCAACGAGATTGCAAAGATTGGATTGGAACTGTGCCTCTTCTCGGTTGAAGCCACTGGAGTTTGTCGCAGCATGTGTTGGTACATCGGAAACCAAGGACACTAAAATATGAACCCTCACGAAACCTCTATAGGGTACCCCTATTTTGAATTTAATGTAGTATTAGTGTAATATAGTACAGAATAGGACAGTACAGTATAGCATAGTACAGTAATATAATATCATATTACATGTTGCGAACCTGCAAAGCAGGGGCTTCAAGGTTTAGGCTTTAGGGTTTAGTGTTTGCGGCTCAGGGTTTAGGACTTATAGGACTTTTCTGGTTGAGGTCTTGAGGCTTCAGGATTTAGAACTCCTTGACGAGGATGTAGCCAAAGGCAGTCTCGCGTTGACAAACTCAAGCTCAACGTAGCAACTCAGGGCGCGGCTTTCGGCACGGAGTCGACGTTCCGCGCTCCAGGTGTTCTCCCGAAGCGATGCAGGAACAGAGCGCCGCAGAGACAAGACAGGCAGACCTTTCTCGAGAGTCTGGCTTCCAGCGGTCTCGGGCTTACGGCTTAAAGCGCTTTGGACTTGAGGCCAAAACTACGGTGCGAAGCCATCTTGGACACAACACCTGAAATACAAAAATATGTATACCCACCAAATTCCTTACAGCCCGCTCCACACGAACTTCTTGCACTATGCAGCTGTTTTGCAGGGTTTTTTCTTCTACCTACTACATCACACAGACCTGACGCCAGGTGTGTAGCGTGTTCACCTAAGCCCTTAAGCTCTGCCCGGGCGCGAAGAGTGCTGCGGCCACCATCATCTGAAAGCCTCGGATAGTTCGGGGCTTCCGTTGGTGACAGCATGGATTGCCGCTTTTCAGGAACGACAGAAAGCCCGAAAGCCGAAACCACAATGTACAGGCCATACTAACTTGTAACTATATCCCGTGATACTCCCCAGATAGTTCCGTTACGATATACCCCAAAGGCCTGCGTTGGAAACCGAACCTGACACGACATAGAAGTTGAGGCTTCAGGCTATAGGGAAGCCAACTCAATCTTGGGACTTTTGGGATTCTAATAGCCGAGGTTATGAGTTTAAGATCTTTTGCCACCGAGTGGCGGCCCTAACCAAGTCCCCGAAACCCTAAACTCTGGTTGAAGGGGCGCGAGATGAAATTGATGGGACGTAGAATTCACGAAATCCCTCCTCCGATTCGCCTTTCAAACCTTCTCAAAACGACTCTTCCAGCAACTTTTCTCAAGCTCCATAAGGGGGAAGATACCTATTTCAGTCATACTCTCCCAGGGGCCTAGCCCAACCCCTGAACCCCTACCCCACCCTACCTTATCCCCCGAGACCAGACAAAGAAGCCGTGGCCGGCGGAGGGGTTTTCAAAGCTTCGGCATAAGTTCTTCTCGGCCTCGGCCTCGCCAGGAATACTGGGGCGTTTAAGTTTTAAGGGTTTAGGGTTTGGGGTGTGGGGTTTGGGGTTTAGGGTTTAGGGTTTGCGGGCATTTAGGACGGCATGGAAGGACGAAGTACTTCGACGAATACATTCCTGCACGGGTGGTGAAGGAACACCTTCTAGTGGGGCTCTTCTCAGTAGTAAGTTCTAAAGCCTTTGGAGTGCGTGCACAGCTTGGGCTGCTCGAGGCAACATGGAGTGCTTCGGGCAGTTTTCATCTACAGCGTGTTTCATCAAGGTCAAGGCCAAGAACCGGTTAAGGGCAAACACAAACAAGAGAGCAATCAAGCAGAAAGGACGTTCACATCGAATGTGGTCGAAATACCTCCAATGGGGACAACTCCGAACGCACTAGTTTCACTCCTGGGCATCAGCATCTCGTTTTGGATAAGTGTAATAGGGGGCTGGTAAAAGCTGCACCCTGACACTCGCAATGCAACTCGCTGAAGCGTCTATCACATCGGTTCGGCAGGCAATTCACTCCACCTATTTCATGCATGAGCAGAACTGCCACTGGCATCACACGATTATGTACACGCAAGTTTGGGAAAACTCGCTTGTGGACGGCGAACTTTCATCTATGTTCTGCACGACACAGCGTGCAGCGGAGGAAGACAGCTACTGAGCTCCACACAGAGCCCTTCTGACCTTAAGACTCATCCGCTCTAGCTTCTAGAACCGACAACATATGGTCTTCTTGCTCACAGGAATCCTACTCCTGCGCTTAAGCCACAGTGTCGAGAGCTGGTGACAAGTCTCAACAAAGCCCCGGACCCTCCTTCGTTCTCGCTGTCCGCAACTCTAAACTCTATATAGCGCTGCCCGACCAGTTTCGCTCTCTGTTTTCAGCCGGCCTTGACACAGATGTAGCTGCCATCGCCAGAGGCCTCCAGGTCCAGGGATCCCAGACATGAGACACTCACGGGTTAAGTGTTCAAGGTGCTCAAAGGATTCGGAAGAAGCCCCTGAAGCCATTTTTGTGCGTCCCCCGCCTTGCAAGCACTGCCCGCCGGGCAAGGTGCGGAGTTGGGATGGCACTCGCCCCGCGGCGGCTTGGTCCAAGGCATGCTGCTTTGGCTCGGGCTCTGGCTGGGTATGGGCATGGGCCCCTGATGCATTCCTTGGTGCATGCCCTCTGCACCTTGCATGCCTGCACCAGAGCCCCTCATCATGTGCCCGCCCTCTCCGGCCATCGACGAAGGCGAGACTCCAGCTGGCGACTTCTTCTCTGTGCGGCGGCAAGTGCTGCGCCCTGCCTCCCTGCGACAGGAGAGGCTTTCGGGGCCGTGATTGTTGCCGTTGACCTCAGCGAGCGTGGCCTGCATGGAAAAGCTGCCATCACCAACTCCACCAAGCAAGTCTTCCTCCGTTCCTTGGCTTCTGCTTTTGTCACCCTTCACGATTGTAGCCGCGTCGAGAACCCGAAAGCAACCATCTCGAAAGGCCTAACATGGAAACTGAGCTTGCACACCCAACCGGCCAAGGCACTGATTTCGAGGATGCCTCCCTTTCGGGCAGCAGCCTTTGGCAGTACGAAGTGCCTCGTGTGCCCTTCCGCCTGACCAGTCGAAGCTGCTTGGCAAAATTGAAGCCCTAGGGTTGATGATAGAAATCCTGCATGACCCATAATAAGGAATATACCCATAATTCCCATAGTTTAGAGACCTTAAGGTAATGCAGGACTTATATCATCAACAGTACTGCTAAACCCTTGCCCCAAACTCTTGGTCGAACCCCAACCCTTCCAAAACTTGGTTTCTTTTGATTTCCCAAAAACTCCCATAGACCCTTCCATAAATGGGACTTTCCGAAAATTAGGGGTGCCTTAGTTTGGGGTCCTTTTAATAAGGATCCTACTATTTAGGGTACTATACTAGCTAAACCCTAAACCCCAAAAACCCTTCAAAAGAAAACAAAGAAAAAGAGCCTGGCGCCCGATGAGGAGCTCCACCGACTCCGTGGACGAGGCGGCCACGTCGCCCCCGACGAGGACCAAAGAGAGAGAGAAGCCCTCCTTTTTTTTTGAAAACACGCTCAGGGTTTAGGGTTTAGGGCTTTAGGGGTTTAGGGGTTTAGGGTTTAGGGCTTTAGGGGTTTAGGGTTTAGGGTTATACGGTTTAGGGTGTAGGGTATGGTTGCTATAGAGTCTAGGCACAGGCATAAAGTCACTCAGGCGTTCAGTCTTGGGGTTTCGGGTAGTTCAGCAGTTGCACATAGAGACTTCGGGTTAGACTCGGGTTTAGGGTTTAGGGTAGAATACTCTAGCTTGTGCTTGCTTTTCCCCTAGCTCGATAGCTGGGGTTCAGGTCTGTGCCAGGTTCATCTTCCTGGTACCGTACGTTGGGTCTGCGCGGGCATGTGCGAAGTCTGAGATCTTCGGGCTTGCAGTTCAAAATTAAGTTTAGGGTTTAGGGTTTAGGGTTAAAATACATCCCCTCAACCCTAAACCCAAAAGCCAAAACCCCTAAACCAACCCCAGAACTCTATGTAGTACGTACACGGTCTTGTGGCTCTAGCCGGAAGCCGAACACTCCAAAGCCCCATCAACACATCAAGTACCTGAACCCTGGGCCCCCTGTTCCCGAAAAAAAGGGGCCACAATAATTAGAATAGGGTTNNAATCAGAATAGGGTTTTGGGGCCCGTTCTACGATATTTATAATATGGAACCCCCAAAATAGTAGTGGTAATTATTAAGGCCCCTGTATTACACCCGAGGCCCTGACAGCCCTACGACCCCAAAGAAGGTCAAAAGCCCAAGGGAGTCCTCGGTCTTCTCCACACTGGCGGAATCTACCCAGGGACCCAAGTCCTTCTGTTGCGGGTCTGGTTTTTGGAGCCTGTGCCTAGGACCGGGAGTTTTGGGCTCAGGGTTTAGGGTGTTGGGAGTCGTGTTGAAAACTCCGGATTTCCTGATGCAGACCCCCTGAGTTCGCACACGACTAGTACAATGGGAGTTTGAGTCAATAAACCCTGAACCCTCAACCCCAAACCCTAAATCGCCTGCACAACCTCGTTGCAGCCGCTTCCCGCCAGAGCCGCTTCCAGGAGCGCGAAGAACACGAGCCAGTTCATGGCGAGGCGGGGGTGAAAAGTTGAAGATCTTCTGAATCCTAGGATCGACATTGGGCCTCCTTTGCTGGACTGAGCAGCTAATTGTAAATCACGGCACGGAGCTGAGGCTTGAAGGCTGTTGAGACGTGCCTTACCGTAGACAAACTTGTTGGATAGGACTGGATACATCTGCAACCTCCGATTGAGTTGAATTCCCCGAGCCAAGAGCAGGCACAGACCCCTTGTAGGACCCTGAAGGACGCCCTGGACCCTGGGGGATCGAAGGCACCCGTGCGTCACGGGCAGATGGGGATAGGGAAGGGCAGATGTTTTAGGATCAATGCCTTCAGGGGCCAGGGGTTTAGGGGTTGGGCAGGGTGGATGAGAGACCCGAAGCGCGCCGTTTCTTGCAATGCCACGATTAAAATGGACTAAATGAAAATGTCTGTCGTGGTCATCTCCTTCTGCCATCAAACCTTCCTGCCGCATTGCAGCTGGCAGCAAACAAGAACCTACATTCTTCTATATGACTTGGGTTTAGGGTTCAGGCTTCGGGCATAGAGCTGTATGGCATCGCTTGGCACAAGGCGAACCACAATGCGCAAGACACTTGCCCTTCGGGCGGAGTCCTCTGCGAGTTAATTTGGCACCCTCGCCGCCGAACCCGGAGCAGCAGCGTCTTCAAGATATGGGCTTCCGAGCCTGCAGAATATCATCATCCGCATTATTACCATGCACTGCTAGCCTTATTGTTACACGCAGAATGCAGAACAGAGTGGGCACAAGCACTTGATTGAAGTCCGGCGTTTCGGCGTCGAGGGAGGCATTCTGACCCCTGGCTGCCCTTTTGGGAGCCCTGGGAAAGAGAATCCGTCCACCCAAGCTGCCCACTGCTCTGTGAGACAGAGGCCCCAGGCCCTAGAATGTCATGGAGCTCAGGGTGGAGAAGGCAGAGTTCTGATATCATAGAAGGTACTCCGATAACATCTTGACTCTCAGACCCCTGGGGGATCGTCTCACCAGGTGGACACGGTTCAGGACCTTCAGGATTCTTATTTTCAGCACTCACCGCGCCGAGGTCTGAAGGCACCATGCTTGTGACTAAAGCCACGGACACTCTGAATGAGCTGAGAATGAGAATGCTGAACACATCCCTCGGCGTCTCTGCTCCTTGGGCGTAGACTATACACAGAGAGGGTCACAGAGGGGATCTCCACGCGGGACCCCTTGAGCCACCTCCTTCTTGACCGAAATCCTCTTCCACCCTAACACCCTAAACTAGGCCCTAACCCCTCTTGGCCTGATGATCACTTAACCCTAAATTTTCCTTGTTCGATGATTCGGGGTGTGGGGGGGGGGGGAGGCCCGACCCGACGCAGAAGGACAGCCCCTGGAGGTAGGCGCCGGCCCACGATTCGGAAGGACTCTCAGCCTTGGGCTTCTGGTGCTTTTGGGGCCTTGGGCGTTGAAGTTTTTGTTGGGGTCTTTTTGTGCTTCTTCTGGGGTTTTGGGTTGGGGTTTAAGAGTACGGGGCTGAGCCTTCGGTTCTATTTTGAAGGGTTCTTGAGGGGTCTGAAGGACTCTCATGACTGAGAACAAGACCTCCTTCTTTGCAGGAGCGTAGCCAAATGACATGTAATGCGATGGGCTCCAGAATCTCTAGCAAGAAGGGCAAATAGGATCATGCAATAAAGCCCCTAAGTAGCAACACTAGTATACGAATAGTACAATGCGAGCTGGGCCGTCCCGCACATTCGCACGTTCACCCACCCTATGGGATGTAAACAATTGCTCTCCTCGGCTTATAAGCAAGACCATGGGCATATCGGAAGCCCAGCAGCCCCCCACAAAACCCCGAAGGCGGGGGTGAACATCAACAGCGAGAACTGCTGCGCCATCTACAGCTCAAGGAAACCCCCCAAAAAAAACCGCAGTATGACAAGGGCACTGCCGTCGTCCCCAGAAAAACACTGCAAGGGTCCCTAGATGATGATGATGGTGAGACGCCAAACCCCAAGCCCTAAAGACTCACCCTAAACCACTAAACCCTAAACCCTAAACCCCAAACCCTGAACGCTAAAGCCGCCGTCTCCGAAACCCTTTCAGGCGGGCGGCCGAAAGCTCAGCTCTCCAGCGCTCGCAGCACCGCATGCGCATCAAGGTCGCTTTGCTCCAGGAAGGCGCAGAAGGTCTTGAAGGTGATTCCATCCGCCTCGCGTTTAGGGTTTAGAGTTTAGGGTGAGAATCTATGAACACTTATGTATCGCATTGTCCACGGACAGCGGTGCTGAACCGGCAGAAACATCTCAGCATTCGCACAAAACTTCGACTCAGCAGTGAAGGTTTCAGGGAGTTCGGATACCGACGCCCGGCACTCCGCCAATCCCACCTTCGTGTCGACTGCCTCCACGAGGGCATCGATCTGGTTCCTCATTCCGCGAGCTGGTCCAATAGCATATTATCTTATCTTATGCTGTACTATACTATGCGATACGATACGACACTACATTGAAATATTGTACTATGAATGTTTATGATTGAGCATTAAATGGAGCGTTCAAGCTCCGTGTCCGAGCTTCCCTAAGCCCTGAACCTTCAAGCATCGCATGCAGGGAACCTAGGACCCTGCTTTCGTGGTGGGAAGGGTGGGTTTTAGGGTTTCGGCCTTAGGGTTTTGGGTGTTAGGTGTTAGGGTTCAGGGTTTAGGGTTTAGGGTTTAGGGTGTTAGGGTTCAGGGTTCAGGGTTTGGGGTTTTAGGGTTTAGGGTTCAGGGCTTAGGGTTGTGATAATGGAAAAGTGCTCCCTGCATGATCTGCCGTAGGTCTCTTGAGTGAAAGGAGGAGGCCTTCAGGATCCCTGGGTACATCCTAAACCCCATGCACCCTAAACCCTATAAACCCTGCAGCCATAACCGCGCAAGCCCTGAACCCGAAACCCCAAACCTCGAAGCCTAGACACCAAATCTCAAACCCTAAACCCCTTTCCCTGTGCAATCACTTTATATGAGGCCTTTGGCTTCCTGCGACGCTGTTTCAATTCGGGCTTTACAGTCCTTTCAGGGTTTCTTCGCCAAGTGCACCGTGCATTCCTGGGTCCTTGTATGTTGGAGGACTTTGATGTGCTCTGGAGACAGCACAGATCTCTTTCGTGACTCTGAGCCGTCACATCCTTCTTCATGTAGTTCATCCACAGGTGGTTCGCTTCTGGAGTGTCCCATGACCCAGAGAGCCCAATACCCCTTAATTTAAGGAATATACCTTAAATCATAATATTCGGGCCCCTATGGCTCAAGGTACCTTCCTTATTTAAGAGGTACTGGGTTCTCTGGGGACTGCTTGCAGAAAACCCCCAAAAAACCCCAAACCCCGAAGCCGAAGCCCTGCTCCATGGCCTGTTGAGGTCGGAGTCCGTCTGGGCGAGGAGAAGTGCCAACTCCTCCGTCTGGACCACTCCTGGGGGTTTAGGGCTTTAGGGGTTTAGGGGTTTAGGGTTTAGGGTTTAGGGGTCTGAGGTTAATTTCGGGCTTAGGGCTCTGGGGTTTGGGCGGTGGGGCTATCTGCGTTTGGGGACGTCTGTTTGTGAGCTGGGGGGATTTGAGACCTAGGCTGGGATTTCCGGTTCTCTGGTCTTGGGAGTTGAGGAGCAGGGCTTCGGAAAATCCAAACTCCCACCCTAACCCCTAAACCCTGAACCCAGAACCCTAAACCCTTCCCCTCAAGCAACCACTAGCTCCTTGCCCCTCTGGATCGAGCTTTTTCCAGACGGCCTGCGAGGCATGTTGGGCTTGGTTAAGCTGGTTGGTGTGCTTGACGGTGCTGAGGGTGTCGGGTTCCCTTTTGGGGCTATCTTTAAAAAAATGATGATGTTTAATCCTTACTGGGGTTCACCTATAACAAAAATTGTAAAAAAAAATTGTAGCCAACAAGGACCCAGGTGTATGTCAGGAAGCAGGTCTTGAGGGTGGCAGGTTATCCTCCGAAGCCGTGCCTTAGGGCTCACTGGGCTTTCAAAGTTCGGGCTTCCGGGCATCGGAAGGCATCGGGAGGGGCTAGCCTGCGCAATGACTTCGAAACTAGCATGAAAACCCATCAAAGCCTCAAATCCCACAACACCCATCCAAACCCTCAAGCCACCAAAAACACGCCTGTGACTAGATCAAACCAGTATTAACTCCTGAACTTCAGGTTGGTCCGTTCTCCGGCCTTGGCGTGCTCTTGGACCTTAAGCCTCAGTGTCGGCACTCAGCTTCGCGCTCAGGGCGAAAGTTTGGGTCCAGGGTTTAGGGTTTAGGAAGTTTAGGGTTTAGGTTGTATGGGGTTTGGGTGGCTTTGGCAAAGAATGTCATGGGGTGCAGGGCCTTGTTCAGGGCCTTAGCATTCAATTTGAAGGTTTGGGGGTTCAAGGTTTACGGCGTCGACAACCAGCCAGTCGAAATCTTGCATTCATCTTCCGAGCCCACAGCATCAGCACGAATCATCACCATAATACCCCAAAGACGGCCGAAATCAATCAGACCCCAAACTGGGCTTCTATCCCGATTTGCTGGGCCGAACTGCTCTGGGTGTCGTCTGGGCTGCTGTCAGCTGGAGCTCTGGGGTTTTTGGCCCAGAGAAATGCAGCGCACGGCGGGCACTGCGCTGACGGAGAAGTGTCGGCAGTCCCATGAAACTGACGAAACCTCTTCCCCCGGTGTCTCGGCCCCAGCACCGAAGCTCTCAGATTCTTAGGTATGGGTTTAGGGGCTTAGGGTTTAGGGTTTAGGGTTTAGGGTTTTGGGGCCTTAGTCGCCTTCTGCCTGCAGACCCAGCGGCTGCTCTTCGTCCGCAAACTCTTCGATGTCGCCTCATCGGCTCATCGCAGCAAAGACGTGTCTGGTTCCCTGGTGGGGCCATCTTAAAATTAGTCATTTTTAATCCTTATTAGGAGCTTATTATAACAAAAGTGCAAACTTGTAGCCAACAAGGGCATACAAGGACCCCGGTGTCTAGGGTTTCGGGCACCATCCACTCCATCTTAAGGAT